GTTCTAGTTCAGTTTAGTTCAGTTCTAGTTCAGTTCTAGTTCAGTTCTAGTTCAGTTCTAGTTCAGTTCTAGTTCAGTTCTAGTTCAGTTCTAGTTCAGTTCTAGTTCAGTTCTAGTTCAGTTCTAGTTCAGTTCTAGTTCAGTTCTAGTTCAGTTCTAATTCAGTTCTAGTTCAGTTCTAGTTCAGTTCTAGTTCAGTTCTAGTTCAGTTTTAGTTCAGTTCTAGTTCAGTTCTAGTTCAGTTCTAGTTCAGTTCTAGTTCAGTTCTAGTTCAGTTCTAGTTCAGTTCTAGTTCAGTTCTAGTTCAGTTCTAGTTCAGTTCTAGTTCAGTTCTAGTTCAGTTCTAGTTCAGTTCTAGTTCAGTTCTAGTTCAGTTCCAGTTCAGTTCTAGTTCAGTTCTAGTTCAGTTCTAGTTCAGTTCTAGTTCAGTTCTAGTTCAGTTCTAGTTCAGTGCTAGTTCAGTTCTAGTTCAGTTCTAGTTCAGTTCTAGTTCAGTTCTAGTTCAGTTCTAGTTCAGTTTTAGTTCAGTTCTAGTTCAGTTCTATTTCAGTTCTATTTCAGTTCTAGTTCAGTTCTAGTTCAGTTCTAGTTCAGTTCTAGTTCAGTTCTAGTTCAGTTCTAGTTCAGTTCTAGTTCAGTTCTAGTTCAGTTCTAGTTCAGTTCTAGTTCAGTTCTAGTTCAGTTCTAGTTCAGTTCTAGTTCAGTTCTAGTTCAGTTTTAGTTCAGTTCTAGTTCAGTTCTAGTTCAGTTCTAGTTCAGTTCTAGTTCAGTTCTAGTTCAGTTCTAGTTCAGTTCTAGTTCTAGTTCAGTTCTAGTTCAGTTCTAGTTCAGTTCTAGTTCAGTTCTAGTTCTAGTTCAGTTCTAGTTCAGTTCTAGTTCAGTTCTAGTTCAGTTCTAGTTTAGTTCTAGTGTAGTTCTAGGTTAGTTCTAGATCAATTCTAGATCAGTTCTAATTTAGTTCGGTTCTAGTTATGTTCTACTACATTTTATTTCTATTTGTGGTTTTGTTCTTTTCAGGAATTGATTACAAATTTTGTCTAACTTGGTAACTTATTTTTAATATTCTAAAACCCTGCTAATGAAAACTTGTTTTAAGATACAAAAAATCCATTTTAGATTCAGATACAGACAGCTAAACCTAGCTAAAAAATGGCAATAAAATTAAGAATGGTTATGTGTTTAAATTTATTAAAAAATGGTGACACTCATTGCAAAACACCCTTCATCTCCGCAACATTACAAATAAGCTGACAAACTTATGTATACCAACCCTCGTAATCAATCATAACACTATAATATTTCATACAACAACTTACTATATTCTAATCAAATAAAAACTTTATAAAACTGCTTAAAATTCTTTGCTGTTGTATGAAACTAACAAAAAACGAATTACAACGTTTATGCAATTGTAAATGTTGCCACAAAAAAAAATGTTGCTCTCGCTTATATCAACATATTGCTAGCAATTGTTTACTTTTTAAAGAGGGTTAATTTTTGTTGTTTATTTCTTTAACGAAAACAACAAGTGCTTAAAATGCATTTGTTTAGCAACATTATTAAATGTTGCTATACAATGTTGCCATTGTCATGTTAATGTGAATAAACTTTACTTAATATGTTTGAAAGTCTCTTTTAGTTTTGCTTTTTCATTTTTGTTGGCTTTTAATAGCAAATACAAAAAAGTATATAAATTTATATAAAGTTGAGGTGAAATAACAGCGTCAGAATACTGTTGCTAGTGCTGATGAAGTTTCATAATGTTTTTAATAATAATGATGTTAATAAAAACAATAAACACATTGCTGTTAGCAGAAAATGAAATGAACTTTTATCATGCAAAATGCACACAGAGTTATTTATTATAACCCTGACAGGATCAAAAGTTAATTGAAATGCATTTTTATATTATATACTTATATTCTTAGGTTCGTTCAGATTTTTCAGAATTATAGTCTAATTCCTCAAGGTTACAAAATTTAATTTCTGCTTATAACTCGCTAACTATATACTGCTAAAGCCAAGTTAATGGATCATGAAGTAAGCGGGTAGAGTAGCCGAGTTTAAATGCATTTTTTTCTGATCTAAGTATGTTAAAGATATTGGTCTCACCAAAAGTTTTCTAGAAGTTCAAAAGCTTCTGGTTTATTGTCACAATTCATAATCTTTTGTCTTCGATTTCAATTTCATGACATTCAAAAACATATTATTGAGAAGATCTCCTGTCAGTGTATGTTATATAAGATCAGTGGAAGAATAACTATAGATAATATCATATGCAATTCACGGAGACAAAATTGCTCTCAGTGAACGTGATTTGAACGAAATATTTTATAAATTTAATATATTTTATTAATGTCTTTATTTCGTGGAGTAACATCATCACGTAATATTATTCTTCTTCGAGAATCCCCCCCTCATGATACCTTAATGAACTTCCCCCTTCTTGGTGTGATTGCATATGTATGTTAAATGTATATTGGTCTTTCCTTGGAGTGACTTGACCTGTAGTCTATTCAGAGAGATATACAATCTGGTACAACGAAAACCGAACTTTGTTTTATGCTGGTTATTGGTGAGGAAAGGAATGTAGGTCTATGTAGAAGCACTTTGCTCAAGTACTCATGCTATCTAATCTCTCGCCATTACTGTCCCGTTGCTTAACTTCCGGTTTTCAAAAACATCACTTCCGTTTACAAACACGCGGATGGAATGGCCTCAGTTGAGTCGGCAACAGCACCTATAGACGTATTCGGTACACAGAAACACCAATCCATCAAATAAGCAGTGAACTTTGTCCTTACTCACAGAGAACACACTGTGGTAAATATGGTATGAACAGAATTAATCCGCAAGTGAGGTACCGGTATCACTTGTATAAGAAACTTTTCATCCATCACCATTCAACCCAACACACTTCTCATTCATTCGAAACACCCAAAGAGAACAACATCCGACAGACTCACTCTAAGTATACGGGCGGATAAGATCGGTATACCCCTACAATCATCCTGTATTATATACACTTAACACCAACTTATTTCCAACGCTTAGTCCCACTCCTCTGTGGGGTATCTGTTGACTTCAGCTACAGCACCGAACTTATCCCGAATTAAAGATTTTACTGTGAATCAGTTTTTTAACCGACTTTCTCTTCCCGCGAATTTTGGTTTAAATCACTGCCTCCACGTGCAATCCAAAGAGACCTCTCCCATAGCCGGGACAAGACAAAGACCGAAACTCTGCCATGCGGGCTACCGGCGGTACCAGATTATGTTGTTCTCTGGTTCGATTAAATGTCAAATCATTCTAAAGAATGGCCGAGGATACATTTGATCATCACCAGTTTGTAATACCACCAGACTTGAGGTACTGGTAACACCTCTTTTCCCGAGTATCGCAATAACATGCCCTCGTGGGGACTGAAACAATGATCTGAGATTAGATAGCTTAGGCACACGAACAAAGTTCTTGTATATGAACCGGTGGAAATTACCACCTCTGTGTATTTCTCAATGCACAAAGGGGCTGCAGTAAATCGTCTGTTGCTCATCCAATGGTGGTGAAGTGACTACAATGAATTTCCTTTATTTTTCAAGGTATCTTCATGTCTTACTCGGTACATAACAGATCTTCCTTGTTCATTGTGAGTAAAAACTTTTCATTGGCTTTTTTGATGGATTCATATTTCAATCAACAGATTACGTCTTTAAGTGTTGTTAACGAATCAATAGAAACTAGTTCAACTGCATGGTTGTAAACGAAGGTGATGTTTAAAAATTTCGGAATTTACACAAAGGCGCAGCTATAAGCTAGCTCCCTTCAGGACACCCTTCGTGAGGAAGGGTGTCCTGATAGATGGAGATCGAGGAAAGCTTTAGATATGATCTGAACATTGTCGGATTGGCAGCAGGTGTTCTGTTATTCAAAGTGCCATGTGCGTGAGGAAGGATGCCCTCTCCTTAAGTGTGGTTGTGGAATGTAGTCAAGGAAGGCTTCAGATATGATTTAAACATTGTCGGATTGGAAGCATCGGGACTGCGATGGTCAGAGATTGAATATTTCAATTACATATATAACTGAACAATGTGCTTATGCCAATTCAACAGTCGCTCACTTAAAGTAATAAAATGACGTGAGAGGTATAACAGATTTAAGTAATATCCAAACAATAAAATGTTTTAAAATACCTCTTCAAACTATCCTCGTATTCATAGATGCATTCACTGCAAAGTAAACCAACTAAAATTGCCAACAAACAATTGCATGAAAGATGTTGTTGTGTTGCTGCTGTTGCTAGTTGTTGGTCGTTTTTACTTCAATGAATGTTTGCTTGGTTTAATTTGTTGTTATTTTTGTTGCTCAGTTTTTCTTTGTTGTATGAAAATGAAAAACAAAAACAGACTTACATGTATACGGGCGATTGCTGCTGCTGTTGCAAGTATTGTGTATCTGAAAAGTTGAAATGTATACAATTCAAAAATACAAAAACAAAACACAACAAACTTAAAACAAAACAAAAAAACATCTACTACAAACTCACATATAGCGTGAGTATGTGTTTGTATGTATAGAAAAATCAAGCAGCATATGTATGTGTAGAGGTTTGTATCTATGTGTAAATTACACTCTTACTCCGGTAAAGTTTGTATATTTTGTGTTTGTGATGTGGTGTGTAGAAGTATTAAAGTATAAAATGTATGGAACATATGAATCTATATGCAACTATGTTTGGTGGTGTGTTTATATTTGTTTGTATGTATAAATGTTTATACAATTACATACACACATTAATGTATATGCATGTGAGTATCTGTGTGTGCCCGTATGTATGTGTGTTTGAATCTTAATGTTTTCAAAAACAAACCATGCCATTCTAGTACGACAAACGATGACTACTACCATTGCTGCCACCACCACCACTACTACACACAACTCTATACTAAAAACCAACCAGAAAAGTTGAGCTGTTTGGCAACTTTATAAACATACATTGCCTCAGTCGTTTAGTAACTGTTGCATCGTACGTTGTCATATTTTTACAACACTCGCGCTCATTTATTCATTCACATTCGTTCGTTCGTTTTTCCTCTGTACGTTCTTCGTGTATTCGAAATCTTACAGATACAAATAAAACACAAATTTATGTGTGTTCTATAGTGACAACCACAACAATTTCTCCGCATATTTTTTTATACAAATAAATAAAAAAAAAATATATTTCAAGTTGGTTTCTAGATATATTCTGTGGTAAACGAAAACAAAAATTAAACAGCAAACTAGAAAAAAAAATAATTCTGATAAGATAAATAAGTATTAGCAGAGAAAAAAATTATTTTTCCAATATTCAATAAAATAAAAATTCTAAGAATTTTTTTCAAAAAAACCTAAAAGAGTTGCGCGCCAATTTAGAAAAAAAACTCAATTATAAGCTATACAAAAAATATTTTAAACGTGTTTTATTATTCATATTTATAACAAATTATTAATAAATTAATAAAAAATACAAAATAATCTTTAAACAAAAATTGTTAAAGATTTTTTCATAACAAAAAAAGCTTAAAGTTTAAAACAAAATACATTTGTGCCAATTGTATTTTTTAAAAGCTTTGTCTTAATTGCAGAAAAAAATATATTGAAAAAATTATAAATAAATAAATAAATTAGCAACTTTAATTTCAACATCATGTATCAACAATTATTAAACAAAATGGGTCTCCAGCAGCAAAAATTCTATATGATTATGTGTATTTTAGCCATTTTAACAGGTGAGTAATTTGTTTGAGAATTTTAAAGAGAAGATGCATTTTTTAACCGGTTTTATTTGTTCAAGTTGGAAAAAAAGCTTAATGAAATCATTTAAAAAATATGTGTTATTTTTAGAAAATATTTAAATTATTTTAATGGTTTTGTTTACTAATTCTTAAACCTGATTTCGAGGTGGGGATTAAAAATTATATATTAATCAAAATTACTGAAGTTACAGGGGACTTAGTGTTTGATGAAAATGCGTTTTTTAATTTTAAATGAATTTAAGACAAATAATTTCTTTTAATTTTGAAATTTGAAAAAATCCCCTGATAGTTGTTACTTTTCTTGGTTTTTAGTTAAACAGAGGCGCATGACCGTAAAGCTTTTTTTAAGGTCAAATTAGAATTTGTAAGAAAACATTTTAGATTTATTCCGGATTAAAGTTTTCTTAGATTTCAATTACCTTTTACATTATTTCTATTCAAAACGTTTTAAACAGCAGCGCATGACCCGAAAGCTTTTTTAGGGTCAAGTTATAATTTTTGTTTTATTTTGCAGTTGAGCTTTTTTTTCAGTTTTTGATCATATTTTTTAGAAATTTTTTATGCAAAACCTTTGTCATTGAATTTAAACAGGAGCGCATGACCTAAAAGCTTTTTTAAAAGTTACATACATTTTTTGTTTTATTCTGCATTACAGTTTTTGGGATTTTGAAATTCCTTTTTGAACCTTTTTCACGAAAGCTTTTATCAAGCTCAAGTTTACAAATTACAAATAATTCTAACTTAAAACATTTATAACTGAAGGCTGAAGTTTTCAATTGTATTATTCTTGATTTTTATTTAAACAGAGACTCATGACCTGAAAGCTTTTAAAAAGGGGCAAGTTAGAAATTGCCCAACAAAATCGAGGTGCATTGAGGATTAGTTCTTAAATAAATAACAAAATTCATTATATTGGCAACACTAACTAGTTAATATGATGTGCGCAGGTCTAGAAATAGCAATAATACAAGACAAAAGTAAATTAGGTGGCAACGCACTTCGAAATAATGAAATTTTTTAGAATTCTTTTTTTATAATTATTGTAAAAAAGTTATTTTTCGAAAAGAAGAAAAGTACAAACGGAATAATTTTGTACTCATAATCTTGGTCTAAGGCTAGTGCTAAAATCTTCACCTTCGTGACCCGTTAAAAAAACTACTTTGAATTCTGATATCACTTTGCTGACAACCGCAAATTGGACTGATATAATCAAAATTCAAACAAAACCCATGATTTTCATACATTTTTAAAGATAAGTACATCCAAAGAATGACATTTCAGAGACCTTTCATTTGATATACAAAAATATGGATTTTTGAGAATTTTTCCTTAATTTCTACTGAAGTCTTTAACTTTGTGAGAAGGGTATATACATACGTATATGTATGTAAGTTTGTCATTCCATTTGTAATTTCTACAATATCATTTTCCGTCCATATAAAGCCATGTCCGTCTGTCTGTCTGTCTGTCTGTCTGTCTGTCTGTCTGTCTGTCCGTCTGTCTGTTCTTCTGCGTGTCTGTTGAAATCAATTCTCTGAAGACCCCAGATATCTTCGGGGTCAAAATTTTCAATAATTCTGTTAGATATGCTTTCTAGAAGTTTCCTATTAAATCAGCAAAATCCGGAGATATGAGCAAAAATTCGAGACAACCTCTGAAAATTTCATCAAAAAAAGAAACATCAGCATTGCTTATCGAAAAAACGTATGTTTGGGTGTGTTTTGGTTTTAATGCTTTGCATGTTTTGTTTTTGTATTTTATTTCGTTTGGCGTTAATTGTTGTTGTTTTATTATTGCTTAAGAAATAGTGGAGTCGGAAAAATTAAATGAAATTTAATAAAATTATTTTTTTAACACACTAGGGTGTAGGGTATATAAGATTCGGCAAAGACAAATATAGATTTCTTACTTGTTCTTCTTATTTATTTTTCGAATTAAAAATCAAAACAATTTTTAATTTTACATAAACCTATGGCCACTCTAAATATTACAACTAATATGTGTAATGAATTCCAAAAGTTTTTAATGAGAAAGTTTCTTCTATATTGGTTGGTGTGTTTTTAATATACATATATTGCACAATAAAAAGGAAATTAAAATAGAATAATTGTATATAAACTTTATCCTTAATAATTTAGAAAAATAACAAATATTTCAAATATGAAATAATTAAAATATGTTTGAAAATTTTACTTATAATTTGAGTAAATGGAAAATTTTCAAAAGTTCAAAACTAAATAAAATTTGAGCTAATGGTGTATGCCAGCTAATAGTGAAATATGATTTAGATATTCAGGAGAATAAAGAAAACATCGTATTTTTTAAAAGTTTTCGAGTTTTTTTTAGTGCGCATGCTTACAGAAATTTAACCAGAAAAATGGTAATAGGGAGAAAACAAAGATGGAATCTTTCATACATAACTCCGAGAATAAAAACAAAAGCTTGGTAATAATTTGTACTTACACAACAACATAGTTTGCAATGACTACCATATACCGTCTGGATTACTTTTATGTACTAAGATATGCATATAATCCCAGTAAAAACTTACATTGAAAAGTAGAGTTTAAAAGTTGAAAAAGCTTTTGACTACTTTATGCATTACAACTTTAACTCAATATTTTAACACATTGGAGACAAGTACTTATCACTCTCACTTACAAATAACTACTTTAATAAGTAATTACAAATAGTATATACTTTTAAAATTTTACAATATTTTGACTCCCTATGTGTAAGTACTCATTACTTTTCAATAAAAGCTTTTAGCTAGGGAATAAATGTCAGATATTTTCCTTTCAAAATGACATAAAACTTACTAAAGGCCAAGACCGCGTTAATATTTATACAAACGATTTCTCGAAGACTTGAAGTGATAGAGAAATTCTGAATTTCCACTTAAGCATAAATCCAGCCTTTAAATAATTATAATTAAAATACTAAACTCTCTATTTAAAATTTGTTGACCTGTGGTGTAATCTATTGTCTGATCATAAGAAAAGAAATTATTTATAATTAAAATTTTTAAAAATTTCTTATACAAAACTTGCAACATCATCTAATTTACATAAAAATATATTAAAGAAATTACCCAAAAAAATCTTAACTCCCATCTCTTGAAAGCTTAATAAATCTTAAACTATTTCTTAAATTAACAAACAAACAAAAAAATACAACAAAATTTATGACCCAAAAAAAAGTAAAACATATTGTTTAAATTTATTATTAAAACGATTTTTCATTTCTTTAACCTAAACTATCATGGCACCATAAATTTGTTGTTGCTCATTTAAAAAAAAAAAAAAAAAAAACTATTTAATATCTGTTTAAATGAATCTCCCACTGCGCAAGTCTAGCTTACTACTTTTTGCTCCACACTCTCTGCGACCAGCAACAAACTGAAAGATACTCAATTTACACACACGCCCAGATACTTCTACACCTAGATTGTTTATGTATGTATCTCTACATAGACAGGTAAAATGTTATTAACTTGTTTCTAAGTAGATTCTTCTGTTGCTGTTGTTTTTGTCTCTACTCAAACGTTTTTGATTGTTTTCTTTATGTTTTGTATGGTTTTCTTTGTATCCCTCCATTCTTATTGCAGTGTTTGCGTGTTTTTTTCAGTTTAATTTTTAATATCTGTCTTTACGTTTTTAACCCGTTTTTTATTATTATTTCATTTTATGACTTAAATTGAAAATAACGTTTTTTTCGTTCTTTATTTGGATTTTTCTTTTTCACCTCATTCTGTTTAAGTTGCTCTGTTCTGGTTTGACTTTTGCTCTGTATCATGTCTTCAGTTTGTTACCTTTTCGGTTTTCTTTTTTTTCACAATACGAAATAAAGAAAATTGTTTTTAAGTCAGTTTTATTTATTTTTAGTTATTTTTTTTGTCGTTTTCTTTTCTCTCCTATTATTCTTTGTATCAAAGTTCTTGTTATTGAAATATAAAACGTGGTTTTTGTATGGATGAATTGAAGAAGAATAAAAAAAAAAAACAAAATTAGATCATGGTTAAATGTGCTGGTTTTTTAATTTCAATAAAGTAGTTTCACAACTTCTTTGATTAAGCTGCAAAATTATGAGGCAAAAATGGGGAAAAAAATTGCTGGTGTAAAAAAATGTAGAATTATGGTAAAAACAGAAAGTATTGCTGAAATACACTCATCTAAAGCGGGAAAAAAAAGAAGTTCTGCATGCTGATAAAACATAGATAAAGCACAAACCACTTATGGCCTTAGGAATGAGAGAAGGCGGCTTTTTATTCTTTGCCAAATATAACCCTTAAAAAGGGTGTTTTCTCAGGAGGTTCTATGTAAGTGATGAGATTCAAATGCAACTGTTTATTTAGAAAGTTATTAGCTTTAAAGACACACCCTTTATATAGCCATAATGATGGCCTAAGGCTAAATAGTTATTAGTTTTATGTTTTTCTCTTTTTAAATGTAACAAGATTTATGAATTTTCGCAAAGTGACAAAAAGATTTCAATGTACTTAGTGAAGAGTTTTTTATTATTATTATTATAAAGTTAAAATGGTTATAAAATCTGTTAATAAAAAAAGTTTCTTAATAACAAAAATTTAAGACAATGGTACTACAAACTATATAAACGATAACAATCGGCTCAGATGCACTTCAGAAATAATTAAATGCGACTTTTATAAAGGTTTACATCAAAGTTCTTTCATTTGAAACTATATTTATGAAAAGGTACCCAAAAAGTACCAAAACTAAAAGTACTTACCCATTTAGTTTAAATTATATAAAAACATGATCTATTTTGAGTGTTCAAATGCAATTTTTGTTAAAGTATAAATCAAAGTTTATTCACATTTACAAAATGGTACCCAAAAAGTACCAGAATCACAAGCATTTACCCATTTTACCCGTTTAGTTTAAATTATATGAAAGCATTATATTTTTGAGTATTTTGTTGCATTAAAATATTCATATTTATCAATAATTTAC